GCTCTAAATGCCTCAATGTCTCATAACCGCTATTGATGATGAAATCTTCCGAATTCGTTCCAGTATTCAATTTATTACGCGTCACAGTAACACTTTGAAAATGTATGTCGATTTTGCCGAATGGCTAAGAAAGATTCTTTCTCTTGTGATTGTTGACGAGCTGCCATTCCGCCTTCTGGAACAGATGAACTTCAATCTCACACCAGGTAGCCCTTTATGATGGGAGCACATTGTTTAATGCTATAAATACCTCTATTCAAAAAGGTCAGATTGGTTATTTTGCGTGCTAAAGTGTAGACGTTTGGTAAAAACGTGGTAAATAGGTTTAATAGTTTATATTTCGGAATTTTGTGAGCCATTATGAGTTTCTTCATCGGTTCTTGTTTCCCCACAAGTATAAATATACCGATTGGAAGAAAGCACTCATGATGGCTCCCGATTATTAACTCATTCTTAACAACTGAATGACTATGAGCACCTGTTGAAAATGTCCTCAGGAATGGCGACTCTCGTGGTTGTGATAAACCACGAAGAAGTACATAATTTTTCTGCCTGAACAGATTCTTACATGGTAACCAACGTTGGTACAAACCTCTCCAAATGAAAAGCTAACAGCCACTATGGAAGAACACCGTTTTGTCAGATCCGTCATCACTTTGGAATGTCTCATTCGGAAGGCCGTAAACATATTGTGCGAAGCTATACAACTTTGCTGCCCCATTCTCCATTCTAAACTGATAATTACAGCGGATGGCTGATGTCAATTTCACTGGTATATACTTGATACTGCCAATAAACCTTTCAAAATTGATATTTTCGACGACATGATTGATACCATGTTTCTGACAAGAAATTCATGCATGTCGTTCACATTATTTTTTTGATGATCCACATTTCAAAATGTTAAAACTGAATTCCTCAAACAGCGTTGGGCTTGTATATAAAGTTTTTATATCTAAGTTTCCTTTTATTCAAATCTTAACTTTCACGAACAGACTCAGCATTGATCAGGATGACATTAATAACTGAAAGGTTGATCAAAATTCTCTCCTTACCTAGCAATTGCTAGCCGCGTGTGGCATTGCACCTCAGTATGTGCTTAAATCAGCAATCGTCGATACGCAAGAACTGCGTTTTGGTTTTCCTCAAGGTATCGATCCATAAGAACCATCGTCTCGTTTTTGTCGTAGGGAGCGAACAACGATCAAAAAGCAGTTTCTGGCAGGGTGAAATACCGTAGGGTATGTCCCCCTCTAGCCGCTGCGATAGCAGTGAAATTCTGTCGTGAATCTCAAAAACGGTCGAAGAACGAGGCTTCGGCAGATTATCATAAATTTCTGACTGGTTGTCTCAACTACTCAGTGGTTGGGAGGAGGCTCTTAGGCTTCAAAAGAGCCTTGCATTAATACGTAAATGCCTCATCTCGTAACTGTTTAAGACATTACACAATACGTTTATAGCGTTGTATTGATTGTTGCTGATGGGCAGTAGTAGGAACACACGAGAGGCACGAATCATCGCGGAGTTTCTGTTTCACTCGCGCATTCTGGCACTCGCCTGTTCTGCAGCGTTGTCGGCCAGCTCACGTTTCTGGAGCCGTCGGTTGTATTACGAAATTATATGTGGATGTCGTTCAGCTATCCCTGATGGAAGAAGAACTGCGATGTGTAGACCCTATAAGTCTGTTGAACCGTTGGTTCGAGATCGCCCTTAACCTCTGCCAGAAGGGCCGCTCGTACTTCTGTCTAGCGACGGCAAACCCAGACGGTACAGCGAGCAGTCGGATGGTGGTGCTTGTTGGTGAGTATGACCAGAGGAGCGCAAACGTTTGCACAAACGCCCACAGTCGTAAGGCAACGGACCCGAACGGTCGTCCGTGCCGTTCGTCTCGGCCTGTTTCTACTGGCAGCCACTCCAGTGTCAGATTATCACCGATGAGTCGTTTCGTACTGTGTTGAAGGAAGAGACCATCAGAATCTTCCACAAGCACACGTTCGACTGCCAGGTGACCGCTGCGGCCTTGGAGTTTCAGAGCTCGGCCATCACTAAAAGGCGGCAATGGTCGTTGCCAAGAAGTCGTTTGTCAATCACCTACTGCCGTCCAAGCAGAGTAATGCCCTGTCTTGCCGTGATCACGTTATTGGATACGTCATCGTGTCGTCGTCGATCGAGTTCTTTCTCAGCAGAGACGATCATTCGACAGATCGCACCAGATTTTGTAAGTGTGAGGATCGACCAACCTCGCGATGAACACAAGCATGTCTGACGGTCGGATTCTCGAGCTGTCTGTGTCCACGAATAAAACGGTATTTATTGAGTAACTCGCGCCTCACTATTGACTTTACATTATTTTTTGATCCTTTGTATTCTTTAGTGCATGACGTTTACGACGCTGTTTTATGTCATCGTTTGAATCATTGAACATTCGCTTTTTGATTTTATGTTGTGCCCTTCCAGACGCTCGGTATTGTCTGGATTAACAGCACCGCTCTTTGTCGACCAACCTACTCTTAGTATCGTCTGGCCGTAAAATTCGAAGCTGTGTGTAGTGGAAATATCGTGGAGCAGAACCCCTGTTCTCTAGCCTTCCTGCCAGTCTGCCGCTTTCTGTGGTTTAGGCGATCATTTTGTAGTGCATGCAAGTCACTATCGACCATATTGTCCTGGTTAATAATACGGAAAGCGTGTTCTGTAACCTGAAAAATTCTGTATGCAACACAGCTGTGAAATTTAGCCTCTTTTTAATGCCAAGAAATCAAGCGTTATGAGGAATTCATCCGACACAGGTGATCTATAAGTGTAACAAGGAGGTGAAACGCTTCAGAAATTTTGGCGGTATAGGTATCGGAGCTCCTTCATCTCCAGCGATGGCACCAGTCAGAGTTAAATAGGAGGATCGCTGTAGCCTCGAGTGCCAATATTTGAGCTGAGAAATCAGCAACTGTTCCCTTGAAAATTCGCCTTTTCCAGTCCTCTGTCAAGTCAGTGTTGTTGTACAGCATGTTAACAGTTGTTCTGAGGCAGGTGCAGGAATGGTGATTGAATTTGCGTACAACAGCGTTGACTTCGACGCTTAAAGAGAGTTAAATGGCTAGACCAAGTAAACAGTTGCTATTTTGTTCGAGGCATAGATAACCTTGGTTGACGTGCTTGTGCAGAATGCGAAATGCAGTTTAGTCCTATTTGACAAACTGGTTGAACAGACATCCCTTAACCCTGCCCACGAGCTTGTCGTATAGGAGACGAAACTCGGCAAACGTCGACCAGGAGGACAGGATGCAGCTTTGAGGAATTAGGTTGA